TGAGAAAGGAAATGTTAAGATCGAATACTGTCCAACTGACAATATGATTGCGGATTTTATGACTAAGCCATTGCAAGGTGAGAAGTTTCGCAAGTTCAGGGATCTGATTCTTGGTCCACAGGACAAGTATGTATATGTTAAAATGAAAATACAAAACAAAAATAAACAGTGAATGAGAGCATGTCCCATTGCTGCCAATGGTGATTGTCACAATGGCAGGAATGTGTTGGGATATGACGAAATATGAGTTTTTACGTTCCAAAAGAAACTATTCATGTACCAAAGAAACTATTCAAGTACAAGGTTTTTGACACGTGCGATCGGACTTTGATCGTGCGTGCGTGATGTCGGGATTCAACGCAGCCGGACGCAAGTCTGTCGGACAATCTGTATCCACACAAACAGGAAAAGATCCTTACAAGTGGAATATTGATGTTGTGTACGATGCAGTAGGGAATAATGCAAGATATCCCAAAGTACTGCATTCAACACAGAATTGTCGTAGAAGTCGAATCGAGTTCTGTAAACAAGGGATTTTCCAAGGGAAAATTGTCGAACTCACTTTTGTGATTGAATCATCAATTCAAGCCAAACATTAATCAAATAGGAACGATTTCACTCAAAGTATACCTAGACACAGGAGAACTATTGTCGTGAAAGTGTTGTACAGCCGATTACGAATTTAGATTGCAGAGAGTTTGTTCTGAGCGCTAAAAGCACTCACGATAGAGCACATTTTGCTTTATTCTAACAGGCATTCGCTTGCGTGTAACCAGTAGGTCGTATGCCGTCTCAGGATCTTCGTCAGTGATATCCTCCATCACGAACAACTTGGAGTGATCCTGCTCGAGCTCCTTGTTTATCAACCACGCCTCCAACTTTGGAACCTTAACCGGATCGTTTTTTGAGAAGGCCTTTGCCGGCCAAGAGAATGCCAGTGGGTCGCTCCCGTTCTCCAGAACGCCATGGTCCAGCACGTACAACTTATCGAAATGCTACTCTTTCTTTTCGCCAACCGTTGTGTCCCTAATCATTGGACAATGCCAAACATTAAAGTTGTTCACCTGTTCCTTGGGCCATCCCGTGTACAAGGCGGGGGCGCCTCCTTGTACACCCTTTTTGACAAGGCTGTTTAGATCTTGCAACTGAAGGTCCTTGGTGGGATCAAAGGCATCGAGGACCGCCTTGGAATCATGGTTTGGGTAGCTCGCCTGGGTGATGAGATAGCGGTAGCTCTTTTTGCACACGGTGAAGTCCGTAATATTCATGATGATGGGTGTTACAGGTAGAAGAGCCGTGTGCTTTCCTAATCTTAATAACTATCTATTCCTGGACTTCAAATTCACTCTGTCAAATACAGAGCAGTCTTTTCAAAAGGAATGAGCTGCAACTGAGCTGCAGCTCATTCACCAACTTCTTTCACAACCTCTTTGGTACGTAGCTTTCCACTGTCCTGCTACTGTACCTTCTTTGCATACGTAGTACTTGGGCGTTCCGATCAGTCCGTCCTTCGCTAGCCAACACCTGCAGTAGCCTAAAAGTTTAATTGATTTTCGTGCGCCTTCGCACTACCGGTACGTGTCATGATTTTGTAACTAATCCAACAAAAATCAATCTTCGGACCCATCGATCACTGTGGTACGGTATCACAAATCATCCATCACGTGAGAGTATCAAAAATTTGATGTTCAGTCAGAAAAACAAGCTTTCAAGCTCAAATTTAGCAAAAAGAGTTCTGCGAGACATAGATTCTCTTGCCGAATGAAGGTATCGCTTTCCAGAATATCATTAATCGTTTTGGTATTTTTCTTCTCATCAATCGAAGCTTCAAGGAGTCCTACGATGAGTACAAATTTGCAGTTGCGTCCTGCCAGTAGGCGCACGCTAGCAGCAAAACCTGGTCGAATTCGTGGAGGTGAAACAGTTACTAGTAACAGTGAAAAGCTTGACGTCAGTCCCTTGGAGAAAGTTCGCAATGCTATCTTTCCAATCTATGGCAAACAAGAGGTCACCAAGTTTCTTTTGATCGGATCCATCAAGTTCTTCATCATCATGGCACTGACGTTGACAAGAGACACCAAAGATACATTGGTCGTCACGCAGTGTGGTGCCGAGGCAATAGCTTTTCTTAAGGTAAGCAGCTCGTCTGAAGGCGTGATTACGCTCCACCATCTTTGTTCAAGTGTTTTTCTGTTTCCCAAGATTTATGGCGTTCTACCAGCTGCTACTGCCTTCATTGCCGGGTATTCAAAAGCATCAAACGTCCTTGGAAAGAAAACACTTTTCTATTTCACAGCAATACCATTTTTCCTGTTCTTTATATTCTTTGATCTGTTCCTCCACCCAAATGCTGAGAGACTCCAGCCTTCTCTCGTCGCTGTTCAATCATTTCTACCGGGAGATTCTACAACAGGTGGCATGGAAGTTATGGCAAAAATATTTGCAAATTGGACCTCGGCTCTATTTTACATCCTCGCTGAGATTTACTCTTCCGTTTCTGTTGGTCTTCTCTTTTGGCAGTTCGCGAACGATGTAGTACCCATAGATCAAGCGAAGCGGTTTTATCGTAAGTGCATCGTTGCTTCGCACAGATACCTATAATATTCAATCCAACTTGTTCCTCAACTTGGTGGGCAGCACTTTTTGCACAGATGGGTGGGCTTGCTCCTGTCATCGCGGGACAGTACGTCGTTTGGTTTGCCAGTAAAGCTGAGAATCTTGGTTCATCGTTGCACAGATTGACCGCTGCTGTTACTTTTTCTGGTGTAATGATATGCGTTCTCTATCATTTAACCTCTTCTTTTATTGAGAGGACGGAGAGCTATGCCCAGAAAACCGAGAGTAGTCTTGATGGACAGGACGGAAAGAAAGAGAAGATGTCTATTGCAGAGTCTGCAAAGTTTCTTGCTTCTTCGCAATATTTGCGCCTCATTGCTACCCTCGTACTAGGCTATGGTCTGAGTATAAATTTCACAGAAATCATTTGGAAATCACTTGTCAAAAAGCAATACCCAGATCCCTTGGACTATCAACGATTTATGTACGGCTCATTATTATTGAAGAATGACGGCAAAAAAAGAATGATTTTTGTCTAACACCACCATCTTCTTCCTTTGCACCACTATAGGGGCAACTTCTCTTCTGCCGTGGGGCTGGCCACTTGCATTGTAATATTTTTTGGGGTCCATGTTATTCGCTTACTAGGATGGCGAGTTGGTGCCATGGCAACACCAGGTATAATGGCAGTTCTTGCAATTCCATTTTTTGGCTGTATCATTTTAGGCCTTGACAATCTTGATCGATTGAAGTGGGCAGTTATTTTGGGCACTATACAGAGTCTACTCAGCAAGACATCCAAGTACGCATTGTTTGACCCAACAACTCAAATGGCCTACATTCCCTTGGATCAAGAATCGAAGGTCAAGGGGAAAGCCGCAATTGATGTGCTTGGGTCGAGGATTGGTAAAAGTGGAGGGTCACTGATCCAGCAAGGCCTCGTTTTCGGGTTTGGAGACATCATCAGCGCTGCACCTATCGTGGGTATGGTATTTTACTCAGTCCTTTTAGTCTGGATTCAGGCTGCCAGCAAGTTGGGAGTTCTTTTCCACGCTCAGACGGAAATGAAGAAGGCTTCCGATGCGGAAAGAAAAAAGAAATAATGTGTTTTTTGTTTGTACTTTTTATTTGACTGTCCTTATTCGGTCTTTACGCGAGTTTGAGAGCTCATTGCAATAGCGGACGCCACAGCAAGGTAGATTCCTGCGGCAATCAAGAAGGTGTTATGTGCATAGGCCTTGCCCAGCGGGACGGAAACGAAAGCGCCCGCCCAGAAGGAGAGGAATAAGAGACTTAGAACTTTCAATTTTGGCAAACTTTCAACATTGCCTCTCAAGAGTTGACCGAGCAAAGTTCCAATATCAGATGTTGTCCCAGAAAAGTGCGAGGTTCGGCACAGATTAGCTGAAAATGTGGATGTCATACTGTTTTGAATACCGCTGGCAGCTAAGCTGAAGAAAATAAAAGTCCCATCACCTGCTTTGGCCTTCATTGCCGCAATGAGCAAAGAGATAGCTGCACACACGAACGAGAGAGCTGCACTTCCAGGATTTCTCAGTTCAAATGCCACTGGTCGAGGAACGAAGGCTCCAGCGATTGCAGATCCAACAATGTAGCTAAGAAGACACTTGATGGATGCGATGGACATTGCATTGTTCCCGGATGAAAATCCAGCGCCGGCATTTGTCAATGCTCCTGTAACAGCGGTTGTTGCCTTAGCGCAAAATTCCTTGTAAGTCCATTTTCAAACAAATGTGCGATTTTGCATGTAGTCCAAATGTTCAACATACCTGACCCGTTCCTGAAATCAGACCTGAGAGACAGGCTCCATTCATCAATCCAGCGGTAGATGCAAGCAAGACTCCGAAGCCAACAGTAGTACTCTTGGAAACCTTGATCGTTGATGGTTTCGAAATCACTTCTGGTTTGCGAGCAAAGGCTGGGATGGTGCCTTTCTTTATATCTTCCACTGTTTTCTTCGCATTAGCAAGACTTTTTGTAGCTGTCGAGGCATGCGAGATTTCAGCGAGTGCAAGGACTGCGGTCACAGCCAGAATGGTTTTAGATAGAATCATGGTGGTTGTTGGTTTTGTGTCGAGAATCGCAAGAATGAAAAGTGGATCACTGTGTGTATGATGTCAACAACTTGATGCGATCGATGCGATGACGTCAGTTTGAAATGAATGACCGCTCCGACTCAACCTTGGCTTCTCTACGGCCGGGAAATGTTAGTCATATGAGTCAATCCCCATATCTATCATTTTAACCGTTTCCTGGTCAGACAATACAAATCAATACATTTCGTAGAACTGGTACAAACTCTACGTAGTCAAATTAGTCAAACTGATTTATCTAAATAGTCAGGTCCAGATCTGCTGTTTAGAGGCATTATCAATAAAACAGGACAAGGGCCCACAATTGAATGCAATAGATTTGAAAACACTTTCCTATGTGTGAATAATTGGTTGGACCACTTCCTGATAATTGATGCTGTGTTTCCCATCCCTGTAGCAAATGTACTGGATCTACGTGAGAGAAACTAAAAAAGCTCTATGTTTGAACGTCAAAATCGGAAAGTGGCTTCCAACAACACTTTCCCCTTCTTGGACATCTTCTTTGATATAAATGACTTCCAACAATGTGTTTAGTTCTTTGGTGGCCAAATTTGGCGAGTAGTATTTAGAGGTTGAAGGTACTATTTTGGAGCAGTCGGTGTAGTCGATTTCATGTACATTTTTTACTGGATCTACGAATGTATTGATTTGTATTGTCTGACCAGGAAACAGTTAAACAAAGAATCTGAGTATTGAACAAACCAATGTTCCGCAGTGCAACGGAATCCCACTCTCCATTTACAAACTCGAACGTCGAACTTATCTTTCTATGCCTGTTGAGGAGTGGCTCCAATATTGTATTTCTATCTCAAAAAATCTGGAACAAAAAAGTACAATGGAAAATTGTCCTGACAAATGTCCAAATGACCAGAATTTTCAGGACCTTCTTGCCTTTCAACAGAAGCTTCCACAGGCTCATCCGATCCCAGAATCCCTGCATTTTAGGTGACCATGGGACTTTACCTGGAGCCAAGGCCCGGCACTTCTCTTCCGCCTGGCGCCTCACGGTATACATTTGGCTATGTAAGCAGTTGTATTTGCGCACCAAGGGAGGAGTCATCTGGTGTCTCAGTTGTTCAATACGCTTATTCAGCTTATTCAATCTCTCCGAGATGGAGTACCTGGCATAACCTTCGTGAACCAATTGAAGATATTTGCGTAGGGATCAAGAGTCTTGAAGGGACAACTTGCGTGGCTTGAAGTTGGACTTCTGAGGTTGGAAGTTGCCCAAGGAGACGGAAAGATCAATGTCAATCCACAATCCGCGGTGATCACAATCAAAGAATTCATCAAAGGTGTAGTACCCACCCGCGAGGATTGGTACGCCCAAAGTAGTGAAGAGGCCATCGATTGGAATGTTCTGTTGGTTGCGCTGATGGGTCGCTTGCGGCGGTGGGTGGTGTTTAGAATCGCCTCCTCAAGACCGCAGGCCCGGAAACGGTGGCGGATAGACTGGGGTGCGTTAACAGTGACATCCTCGTTTGCGTCTATGCCCAAAACCACCTCACATCCTTCATCACGCCATTTGGTGATCTGTTTGCAAAGATCGTCAACAAAGGCTTTCCGTGGATTGGCTTTTCGATTCACTGCATGAAAATGAAGCCTGTGTTGTGCCCATACTGTAGATCCACCAAGGCCTTGCTTGTTGGGTCGGTACGCGGAGACGACCACCAAATCCTTTGAGATCGGTCGGCGAACTGCGTCATTTAACTCAACCAAAGAGTCCTGGACATTACCCCCGTTGGCTTTCAATTTCCTTCCCTGGAGACAAACATAGGCCCATCTTCCTAAACCGGTGGGGTCTCTGCCAGCTTCCTTAGCCCTGTGCGCCACTTGGTTCAAAACAGTTGTAATGCACCCGCCCCATTGTACCGACGAGGTGGCAGCAGATCTGTCCTGATGCCAATTGTAAGCTACCGACGAGTAAAACCCTTTCTGCTTGGACTTCATCGTAGCTTGGCAGAGTCTGTCACTCCAACCGTGACCTTCGTTGATAGAAGGCCAGAACGTCTTGGCTTCTGCCAACAACGCAATTCCCACTCGTTCTTCCTTCAGCCAGGAGTTGATCTGTTGCTGCTTGGGGTCATTGCCGTTTTCTGGTAATCCGTTGACATTCTGGAAACAGATTCGAGTAGCCAGTGGAGAACGACGGCGGTGATCATCGCCCGACCAATCTCCTGCTGGAAGAGAACGTAAATATTCATCAAGTGAAGCATGAGAGACTCCCCACTAATACGGGATCTTCTGCCTGCACGCCGTGACCTAGCGGCAGACGATTGTTGGCCTCTCATGTCCCCTCCGCGGAGCGGGGAGCTCCGCGGGCGGACCGAGAAGATTTACTGGCGCCATCACTCTGAGCCTTCCCAGGAGGAGGAGAGAAGAATGGAGGCCCTCCACCTCGCGAGGTAGACGCAGTAAGAGATGAGGTTTGGCTCTCATCTTGAGACGCAGCAGTGGTGTTGTCCCCTTCCGTGTGAGACGTGTCTACTTGAACAGCCGGGGCCGCCAAGGTTTGAGCCGAAGATGGTTCCTGAAATTGAACACCTGTACTTGTACGGGCCTTCTTTGCTGGTTGTTTAGGTGGTTTGCCCCGCTTGATGGCCTTCTTTGGTTTGTATCAATGAAGAGCTGTTCTGAGAGACCTGAGTTGGGCTTGTTAAGCTGTCAACCGCCATGTTGTTGTCTTCTGACCTCACCGGTGCTTCTACAGATTCTGTCTGAACCACCCCACCGTTGCTCACCGCATCATCATCCGCATTATCATCATCATCCTCATCTCCGTCGTCCTCATCATCTGAAGAAAGTGGTGGGCGTCTTGGATTGTTTTGGACCTCCGTCACTAGTATTTCATCGTCATCATCGTCCTGATTTGGTTGTTGGTAGGCATCACCGTCAATAGTAGTGGCATCGTCGTCCGCAGCCTCGGCATTGTCAGCATTTTCCCCACTCGATCCGTCATCATCCACCAGTGCATCATATCTATTGTCGGTCAGATTACGATGACGCTTCCTTTGATCCACTAAAGTCGTTTTGTTCAAATGAGACTGGCCTACCGCATTGTCCAAATGGTCATTCATTGGATCACTGATCTTCTGAATTGCTTGTTGAGTGTGATGGGTTGAACTTTCTGGTCGGAAAAAGGACTGAGAAGGTGCCAAACGTTTTTGTTTGATGCCACGGATGATTGACGACGGCGGCTCGTTATAATAGTTGTCGCCAAAGGTTGTTGCCCATGGATAATCAAACAATTCAGAACAAATCAACCAAAAGCCAACCAAAGGATTTTCCAGACGAAGTCGAGGATCCGACTTGTCCCCATCAAAGAATTGATTGTTGTTCTGATTTTTTTCGAATTTGTCAATGCCAAAAAACGAGAAAGGGTTCTGCAATGAAATTCGCATTGCAAGAACTCGCATTGACCAAACGTCTTCAGCTGCCTTATCCTCAATCGTGAAGAGGTCGAAGGAGGATATGAGATATTGGGCCAGCTGGGCATTATCAGAGTTGAGATAAGTAAAAATCTGAAGAAATCGATCGTTGCATGTTGATGTGCCTTCATAGTCGTTGAACAGGGCATCAAATCGCAAGCAAGGTTGATTCCAAGCGCCTGGATATCGATCATCCCAAGCTGCAAATAAGGCGTTGCCTGTTTGAATGCTATCCATTCTTTGCAGTGCTTGATTGACGACTTCAACAGAGTATAATTTCTTCGACCACAGCTCAGATAATTTAGGAACCAGTTTATTGTATTCCTCTCTATGCCGCGCATCTCGTTCAGCAATTCGTCGTGCCTCGAATTCGTCGGCCATTTGTAGAGCGTCTTGTGCATCGTCGATTTGCTTGATGTCAACATCACTGGAATTGACAGGATCTCTGTCTTTGGGCTGTTCCAAATCAATTTCCAGTCGTTTTTTCATCGCTTTTTTTCCTACAGAGGAAGCCTTGGACTTTGCCACGCCCAGCTTTTTTGCATTAGCCGAGGCAGCCTTCGGAGCTGGAGATTTGCCCATGTTTAAACCAGTGTTTTGCCGTTTGTTGATGATAATTTCAATTTTTTTTGCTACGTAAAATCAGTACTAGCGCTACGCAGAGCAGATTGGCTGGTTCTGCATGTTTGCGTGTTGTTTCGTTTCTGATATTATTTTTTCTATGAATTTGTCGCTGCAAGGACTTGCGTTGAACAGATCATGGATCTTCGATACACATTGAGATATCTTGGAGTACCAATCCAAGGTCGAAGCTACATGTTTGGAGACAATGAATCTGTTGTGAACAGTTCATCCAGACCTGACGTAAAGCTCCACAAGCGACATGTTGCACTGCCATTCCACGGTGTGAGAGAAGCTGTTGCATCCAACATGCTTTCATTCATTCACGTGGATGGTGACAAGAACTCAGCTGACATACTCAGCAAACATTGGGGATATCAACAAGTTTGGCCACATATATATATAACTGAATCATTAATTGGTTTTTATGCTACTTCTAGAGTATCCAACTGCCGGTGTAATACGGCTGTAGAGGCCAGGAACTATGCTGCTTTTAGTCAGATAAGTTTGAACCACGTTG